AAGTTTATAAAGTGAGGCTAAACCTTGCTGGCATGTATCTTCTGACCTGTTTGTACAAAGAAAAACAGCTGTTGAAGATGATCAAGTTGAATTTTGAACATTATCTGTTTGTAAACAGGTGGTCCTTTATTATTTCATCGTGATTATGTTTATGGATGAAAAAATAGAGTTTTAGGGGTTTTTTTGGGGGTCAAATTTTGAAAATTTTGTAACAAATCATGATAAGATCAAGTGTTTAATCCTGTTAGTGCTCAGAGAATGTAATTGGAATCACTCACAGCTACTACCACATCAAAGTTTTGCTCAACATCTGTACAAGTAACAGCCTTAAAAACATTTTTTGTTGATTAGTTGTAGCAGCCATTTTGAACTGTGTTGACTTCAGAAGTGAATCAGTTGTTCATCCAGTAATTACTTTCTGAGACATTCATTAAAATCTGTCCAGTGGTTTATTGGATATTTTGCTAACAACCAGATGGAAATTTAATATTTAATGACAAAGTTTTAAAGCAGTTTTGGCACTGTTGGTTAGGGCTGAGGGAATGACTCTCAGCTAATGACTCACCAAATTTTGAATCAATATTTGTAAAATTGATCGAGTCTTAGCCATTTTTATGTTAGCTAAGGTCACTTAGCTGTGACGGCCATCTTGAAGGAGGTTGGCTGAGCATCAGTCCATTTTTAATCAGTTAATCGCTTTCTGAGATTTTACTATCAATTTTCTCCATTAGTTCTTTTAGATAATTTTCTAAACAAACATGCGTTTTTAAGTTTTTACCAGATGCTCTGGTTTTCTACCACAGTACAACAACATGCACATCAGCTTCATTGAAGATCCTTAGGTGTGGAAGTGACGTTTGACCACTGACTGCTGGAAAAACTTTTGCAACACTGAACAGGTTTAAACATTTACAAAAGAGGAGTGAGTGAGATTTTATCTATTGTAAATCTTTGCTGTTGGGCTTTTCCTTCCAATTCACGTCATCTGTGTTTTAAACCTACACAACACAGATGATGAAAGACCTTTCAAAACAATCATTGATACAAACCTTTAACTTTGCTGAAACTATCCTTCATGCAGGCTGAAAAATTGGCCTAGAGGAATGAACTTTACAACATTTACCACTTGATGTCTCATACTGAAGATGTTTGCCTTTGTTTCTGTAAACTTAATAAGATTAAAAAGAAAACATCTAAAACATGTTCAACTTTAAGATTTTACTTTATTTTACATACTTTAAAAAAATCACTACATAAAACAAAACAAACAAAAAAATAAACACCAGACATGAAGTCCGACTATCATCCAGTTTGTAAAAAATACTTTATAAACTTAAATAAAATGAACAGTATATTTTCTAAAGTTGTGAAGCTATTTTCTCCCCTCACCGAATTAAATTTTTTTTTGTACATATTCTAAAAAAAACAAAAAAACATTTAGGGGTTAAAAAAAGTTACTCTAATGTCATACCAGGATAAAAGTGATGAGGTGAAAACTACAATTATTATGATTTTATAAATTGTTCATCCTCTGTCAGGTCTAGAATAAATTAAACTTTGTTCAGGTGATGGCAAGTGAGACAGAAACAAATATCTAAAATAAAATACTAAACTGACAACAAACAAAAGACTCTAGATATATATTGGATGAAAGATTCATTCAGTCACAGTCATTCATTCATTCAGAATAACAATCTAGTTAGGAGGGATAAGCACTTCTACCCACATGCCTGCCATAGTAGTGAAAATATAACGTTTATATTTATAGACACAAACATGCAGAAAGCATTCCTATTCGCTCATAATTAATACCCCCCCCACCCCCCCCACACACACACAAACAGTGTAACCCCCTGACATATTTACAATTTCTTCATTTTAAGAATGAATAGATGTCATTTCTGTGTTCACAGTAACTCATACCTTTTTGAATATGGGGGCCACCACCCCAGTCTGCCAATCCAGGGGAACTGCCCCCAACATCAACACAATGTTGCAGAGTCGTGTGAGCCAATACAACTCCACAACATCCAGAGCCTTAAGGAACTCCAGGCGAATCTCATCCACCACTGGTTTTAAGCTACTAATAAACATGATGGATGATGATGATATTGCTTTATGCTAGGCCATTGGTAAGGAGTGATTATTATTATTGTTTCATATTGGCTAGTGATTTTTTTCCCCTAAAAGTTAACTTAGGCTACACTACGGTATGTTTCTTAGACTGTGGCTAGAATGCATGAGAGAAGCGGAGCATGCTCTATTCACACACGGAGAGCTGTTGGTCAGGCTACTTCTTGTTGTGAAATTAACTCTAAAATAGTTATTGGATCAAGTGTTACTTGTGTGTGTAGCCTGTAAAATACACCAGAATGCAGGAAAAGGCATTTACTTTATTCAAAATTTTCTGGGGGAGGACACCCCCCCCCCCCCCCCCGCCCCATTTCCCGATACTCACGGAGACACAGGAGTGTGGGTTGTCCTCTCCCACACTCATGGAGACACAGGAAGGTGGGTTCAGTTGCTTGAAACTCAGCTGTTGCATCAGCAGGTCTGGGGTCAGCTTCTCTCCTGGCCATTAGAGCTCGACTGTTTCGTCGGTTAGTCTCCTGGTGATTGAGGACTCCGCTCCCCCTCACCTGCAATTTTCTCCACCACTTCCCCAGTTGTGACTGAGAAGACTTGGGTGGAAGGAGGAGCTGGAAGGAGAAGCTGAAGTTCTACAGAACAGGTCCTTTTTCTGCCAGTTTTATTCCTTTGTCTTATCTAAACAAGTATGCCATGATAATTAATAAATGTGTATTTTTAGTGTGATGTTATACAGTGGTGCTTGAAAGTATATGAAGCCTTTAAATTTGTCTATATTTATGCATAAATATGACCTAAACCATCATTAGATTTTCACAAAAGTACTACAATTAGATAGAGAACCCAGTTAAACACATTAGACAAAAAATATACTTTGTCATTTATTTATCTATTGAGGAAAAATGATCCAATCTTACATATCTGTGAGTGGCACAAGTATATGAACCTCTAGGATTAGCAGTGAATTTGAAGGTGAAATCAAGTGTCGGGTGTTTTCAGTCAATGGGATAACGATTAGGTGTGAGTGGCACCCTGTTTAATTTAAAGAAATGGCCTCTATTAGAGTCTGCTCTTCACAACATGTTTGTGGAAGTGTATCATGGCAGGAACAAAGGAGACTTCTGAGGAGCTTTGAAAAATAGTGTTGATGTTCATCAGGCTGAAAAAGGTTACAAAACAATTTTTAAAGAGTTTGGACTCCACCACACAGTCAGACAGATTGTGTACAAATGGAGGAAATTCAAGACCATTGTTACCCTCCTGGGCAGCACGGTGGGGCAGTTGGTAGAGCTGCTGCATCCAGCGAGCAGGTGGCCCAAGTTCAAATTCTGTCTGGTGTCCTTTCAGGGTGGAGTTTGCATGTTCTCCTCATGCATGCATGGGTATTCTCTGAGTTCTCCGGTTTCAGCCCACAGACCAAAAACATGCATGTTAAGCAGATTAGTAACTCTAAACTGTCCCTATTGATATTGAGAGTGTTAATGGTGGTTCCTCTCTATGTGGCCCTGTGATGGACTTGCAACCTGCCCTGGGTGTCCCCCTCCTCTCGCACACTGATAGCTGGACTTAGGCATCATTGACCCTGCGACCCGAAAATGAAGAAGCAAATAAATATGATGGATGGATGGACGGAACCCTCCCCAGGAGTGGTGGACCAACAAAGATCACTCCAAGAGGTGTGTAATTGTCAGCGAGGTCACAAAGGACCTCAGAGTAACTTCCAAGCAACTGAAGGTCTCTCCCACATTGACTAATGTTCATGTTCATGAGTTCACCAACAGGAGAACACTGAACAAAAATGGCAGGGTTGAAGGAGAAAGTCACTGCTCTCCAGAAAGAACTTTGATGCCCGTCTGCAGTTTGATAAAGATCACGTGGACAAGTCAGAAGTCTGTTGGAGGAATGTTTTGTGGTCAGATGAAACCAAAATAGAATGTTTTGATTTAAATGAAAAGTTCTATGTTTGGAGAAAGACTGCATTCCTGCATAAGATCCTTATCCAATCTGTGAAACCTGGTGTTGTTAGTATCATGGTTTGGGCCTGTTTTGCTGCATCTGGGCCAGGACGGCTTGCCATCCTTGAAGAAACAATGAATTCTAAATAATATCAGATAATTATTCAGGAAAATGCCAGGACACCTGTCAACAATATTTAGTTGTAGTTATTGCTACAAAGTTTGTGTGTCTGTGTGTGTGTGTGTGGGTGGGGGGGTTGCACATCAGATACTGAAAACAAATGTTCCCATACTTTTCCCATACTTTTTTTGATTTGGTAGATTACAGTATTTTATCAGTTATGTATAGGGCTCAAAATAACACATTACCATTAAATATCCAAAGAAATTTTGTAAAAAGGCAAAGTTGTTATAATCTTAACGGGATAGAGATATTTGTCAAACCAAAATTCAGAACTAGTCTGAAGAGAAGGTCTACCTCTGACAGGCTCTGTCCCTGTCTGTTTTCTTTGTATTTGTTTGTGTTTTCCACTTGCTCCTCAGTCTGCCTCTTCTTCTTCTTCTTCTTCTTGGTTTTTATTGGCGGTTGGCAAAAAACTTTAAGTAGCATTACCGCCACTTACCGGTATGGAGTGTGGTTCGAAATGGTCTATATACTTTCGTTTTCTACCTAATCCCTCCATTAATTCCTGATTAAACATACACACTTACTTATATAACCTAACTTGCATATAGTTATATATCTTTCTCTACTCAGATTCTATGGAATAACTTTGTTTTTTTAAGATACCGAATAATTATTTGAATATGTCTACTTCCCAGATCTCTCCTCACAAATTCTATTAAATTAAACTTTTCTTTACTACCTTCGCACTCCTTCAACATGCATCTTCTCTCTTCTTCATATTTACAACACTCTAAAATAACATGTTCTATTGTTTCAAACTTCTCACAATACTCACATTTTCCATTTTTATGCTTCTGTATTTTAAAAAGCGAATAATTAAGCCCTGTATGACCGAACCTTAACCTTGTTATTATTCTTTCCTCCTTCCTACTTCTTCTTCCTCTTCTTTTCCTTCCCACAGCCTTCTGAATTTTATAAAACCACCTTCCTGTTAATCCTTCGTCCCACCTTCTCTGCCATATTTTCTTCAGTTCTTCTTTGACTTTACTTTTCCCTTCAGAGTTACTCATCCTAACTGTGAAACTAATAGGATTATGTGTTGCCTTCTTTGCCGTTTTATCAGCCTTCTCATTTCCTACTAACCCTATATGTGCTGGAACCCACACAAATATCACTACTAACCCCATATTTTGTATTCTAAACAGAGTATGATATATTTCTAATAAGATATCCATCCTACTATCTGTGTTATTATATTTTATACTTATCAAAGCTGAACTTGAATCTGAGCAAATTATTGCTTGCAATGGTTTTACATCCTCTATCCATTGTAATGCCAAAAGTATTGCTAACAATTCTCCTGTATAAATTGATAACCTATCCGTGACTCGCTTCCCTATATTCACATTGAATTCTGGGATTGTAAATGCTATTCCTATTCTTCCGTCAATTTTTGATGCATCTGTATAAATTTGAACATGTCCATAATAACTATTTAAATGCAATTGCACTGCAAACCTATCTATTACATGTGATTTTTCCTGTTTCTTTGCCATTATTGATAAATCTACTATAGCTTCTGGTAGAATCCAGGGTGGTATAACTGATATTGGATCTGATTGACTAATTTCTAAAGTGTCCACTTTTAGTTCCTTTAAGTCCTTTTCAATTTTCCATCCATAACTTCTCATCTCTTTCTTTTCTTTTTCCCAACATGGTTTTAGAATTTCCTGAGTTGGATGTCCTTCCTTATTGCCCATCAAATTTAACCAGTAATTAATTCCTAATTTAGTCCTCCTTAAATCTAGTGGCATTTCCCCCGTTTCTACTTCTAATGCTGCCGTTGGTGTTGTTTTGAATGCTCCAGTACATAATCTTAGTGCTTGATGTTGAATACTGTCTAATTTATCCAAATGAGTTTTGGCTGCTGAACTGTACACTAAGCATCCATAATCAATGTCAGATCTAATTATCCCCATATATATCTGCTGTAACGATTGTCTCTCTGCTCCCCAATCATTACCCACCAAACATCTTAATATATTCAACTTTCTCTTACATTTATCGACAATCTTTTGGATGTGAATATTCCACTTTAATTTTTCATCAAACCACAAACCTAAGAATTTTATACTCTTTACCTGTTCGATTTTTTGATTATATAATTTTAATTCTATTATCTTATTTGTTTTTTGTTTTTTTGAAAATATAATTACCTTCGTTTTGTCCACTGAGAATTTGAATCCCCATTGCCTTGCCCACAACTCTATATTAATAATAGCCTGTTGCATTTTTTTAACTATAAACTCCACATTCTTTCCTCTTTTCCAAATAGCTCCATCATCTGCAAAGAGCGAACAGCCCATGTCCTTTCCAATATCTACAAATATGTCATTTATCATAATCAAAAACAATAATGGACTTATTATACTCCCCTGCGGTGTGCCATTTTCCACTACATATTTATCTGAAACTACCTCCCCTATTCTTACTTGTAATTTTCTGTTTGTTAAAAAGTCTTTAATCCATTCATATATTTTCCCTTGTATCCCTAATTTGTATAATTTAATTAATAAACCCTCTACCCACATCATATCATACGCTTTTTCAATATCAAAAAATACTGCCACTACACTTTCCTTGTTTACTTGTGCTCTTCTTACTTCATGCTCTAAGCATAACATTGCGTCATTAGTACTCCTACCTTTCCGAAAACCACTTTGATAATTAGAGATATATCCCTTTTTATTCAAATAATACACTAATCTACTATTAATCATTTTTTCCATTATCTTGCATAAATTTGAAGTTAATGCTATTGGCCTATAACTTTCTGGTTTTGAATGATCTTTTCCTGGTTTAGCTATTGGTACAATAAGAGATTCCTTCCATAACTCTGGCAATTTCCCCTCCTCCCATATTTTATTAAACAATGTCAATATTATCATTTTTGACTTCTCACTTAGTTGGTTTATCATTCTATACCAAATTTTATCTTTACCTGGCGCCGTGTTTTTGGTATTTTTAAGCACTTTATTTAATTCCACTTTGGTAAACTCCACGTTCAAAAAATTATTTGTATCTTCCTCACTCTCCATTAAATTTTTATACTTAAGGACAGTACATTCTCTTCCTTTTCTTCCCTCCTCGCTAACATTATTTGTACTATGTATCTTACTAAATACTTTAGCCAATACCTCAGCTTTATCCTCATCCCTAATTATATCCTCATTCTCAACTTTTAATACAGGATAATCAAATTCTCTTTTAACTCCATTCATTTTTTAAATTATTTTCCAAATCTTCTCAATTTTTGTATCTCTTCCTATTGTACTACAAAAATTTCTCCAATAATCTCTCTTAGCTGTCTTTATAATCCTCCTTACTAGTGCTTGCTTCCTTTTATACTCAATTAAGTTCAAATAAATTGGGTTACGTTTTAATACCTTCAAGGCTTTATTTCTTAATTTAATTGCATCTTTACACTCACTAGTCCACCATGGCACCTTTTTCTTATCATTATTACTCCCTGACTTTTTTATAGAATTTTCTGCAGCTTCCATTATTATCTTTGATATACTCTCATTTACTTCATTTATATTCATATTAAAATCTACCTTATTTAAATACATTTCACTTAAATACCTAAACTTACTCCAATCTGCCTTATTAAAGTTCAATCTTTCCCCTCTATTTTTATATTTATTTCCTATTATTCCTACCCTTATAGTTATAGGATAATGATCACTGCCTACTGTATTTTCTTTATCAACTGACCACTCACAGATACCAGCAATATCATTCGACACTATTGTTAAATCTATAGTTGATTCCGTCCCCGTTTTAACATTGATTCTTGTTCCGCTTCTCTCATTGATACATACCAAATTTTTCAATTCAATTACTTCTTCTATAATCTGCCCATTTTTATCATTACTATTACCCCACATTGTACTTTTTGCATTGAAATCCCCACACCAGATTACTCTCCCCTCCAAATAATCTAATAGTTCCCCCATTATTTCAACCGATAATGATTTACATGGATTATAGAAATTTATTATTTTAAATTTACGTCCCTGCTCCCATACCTCAATTACTATGAATTCTAGCTCTTTCCCTTTTCCTACAACCTGATATTGTACCCCTTGTTTTATAAATATTCCACATCCTCCTCCCCCTCCTTCTTCACGATCTCTTCTTACACTAACATAACCCCTAATCACAAAATCTAATTTTGCTTTTAACCACGTTTCCTGCACACATATTACATCCGGTTCGCTTTCAAGTTCTTCAATATAACCTTTAAATTCTTGTCCATTAGCTATCAGGCTTCTAGCATTCCATTGAAGTATTAGCATAAACTACTTTCACCTGCTGTTCCCGACTTCTTATCCTCCTCTAACTTTTTATTTATTTCTTCCCATGTTCCTTCCTTGAATCCCAAGAATTTTTCGGCTCCTTTCACTATTATTTTAATCTTCTCTGTTTTGTTCTTAGCTTGAACAGTACAGTTGATAACATATGCTATAAATAAGACTAGATTTTCCAGTGAGTAAATGACTTTATCTTCTGGTATTACTTTAGTTTGCTGTTTTGTTTGGTTCCCCGTTTGCTCGACCCCTCTTTTTTCCTGTTCCTTCACACTTTTTACAGCTTCTGCATAGCTAATATTTTTAGTTGTTTTTATCTGCACAACTTCTTTAGCCCTCTTCCTGACCTCACACCCTCCGAACGTGACTCTATGCTTTCCCCCACAGTTACAACATTTCTCTTCTACATCTTCCTTACATTCTTCAAATTTATGATCTTCCCCACATTTTGGACATCTCTGCTTTCCTTTACATACTGCCGCAATGTGTCCGTACCTTTGGCATTTATAGCACCGAAGTGGTGGAGGTACATAAGGTCTGACTTGGAAGCTTATATATCCTATTTTTATGCTCATTGGCAGCTCTTTTCCCTCAAACTCCATTAGAATGGACTGACTCCCCACTCTCTTCCCATCCACAGTTCTTGACAGCCTTTTCATATTAGTCACCTTTGCTCCAACTATATTTTTCTTAAGTTTTTCTAGATCCTCATCTAGAGGGATCCCATATATCACTCCTCTAGTTTTTATATTTTCTCCCAACATTTTTTTCTCCAGCACCACTCTTTTACATATGTTATCCACATTGAAGGCTTTATTCTTTTGCTCTATATCCTTACATTCTATCAAAAGGCTTCCGTCTCTCAGAATCTTCACCATTTCAACATCTCCTATTTTCTTTTTAATTTCTTTTGACACCCCAATTGGGCTGATTTTCTCCTGACCGTCCTCGCTCTTAAGTTTCAGAATTACTTTAAATTCCTCATTCCCAACTTTTCTCCTTACAACCCTTTCTTCCTCTGAACTGCTTCCTTCTAGATCCCTTTTACTTCCTTGATTATCTCTAACACCCTTTCCTTCACCTAGTTTCATTCCACCCCGTCCTCTTCCTCTCCCTCTTCCCACTGTCGTCCACCCTTCTGGTTCCCCTTCTTCTTCATTACCTAACTCCATTTCCATCCGAACCATTCACACACCAGTTTATGCCAATTACCGCCTTTTCCACACTCCAAGTTTGGTGTAGTTTTGAACTGTCGTTCAACTCAAACTCTCCTCCGACGCAGATCAACGTTAGCTTCCTCCTCCTCCGACGCCAAACCTGCCTCTCTTCCAAAGTGCCCTCAGTCTGCCTCTCCACTCCTCAGTCTTTATCATTCACACCTGTCCCTCATCAGCCACCTGCCCAGGTGCTCTCATTACTCACTCTCCCTCTGTCTTATAAAAAGCCTTTCTCTCCTCCACTCCTTGTCCGGTCATTGTTCTGTTTTCACAGACAACATGGTCCTCCTCTGGTCCTTGTGCCAGGTATCAGTCTGAGTTTTGAATCTGTCCTGTTCTTGTCTGCCTGGATCCTGCCTGTAGTTTTGCTGCCCCGTCAGCCGTTTTGTTTTTGTGGTTTAAAATAAATTATTTTTATTTTAAACTCCTGCCTCGCTCGCCTGCCTGCAAATGGGTCTAAACACTGAGGATTGCGACAACCTCAATCCAAGGAGTTGGATTGTGGAATGGTCTAGAGAGTGATGTGAAAAACGCCAAGTCAATGTGTACATGTAAGAAAAAGATCAAAACTGAATTGTTAAAAAAATATATATATATGAAGTAGCTTAGTGTGTGTTTTGTATTAGAATTAGAAAAATTAAAGTTATTCATTTTGTTCTGTTACTTGAAAATTATTATGTCTGAAATAATTGTTTGAAAAAAAGGGCAGATATAATAAAAATGTTTCTTCTTTCTGCTGCCTTTCATTTTAAATCTCTTGTGTCTTTTTATTTTGTTATGGAATTGTTTTGTACTTTTTTAAAATGAATAAACTTTATACCATACCATACATACTTTTCCCACTCACAAAAATGTAATATTGAATCATTTTCCTCAATATATAAATGACCAAGTAATATTTTTATGTCTTTTGTTTTACTGGGTTCTCTTTATCTACAAAGTACTTTTAAGTTTTTTTGTGTAAAAATTTGATGATACTTTAGGTCATTTATGCAAAAATACATAAGATTCTAAAGGCTTCACAAACTTCCAAGCACCACTGTATATTTGCTGTTAGAAATTGTTCTTAAAAACTTAATGGCACAATTTTTTGTTACTGTTACCATTTATGATTTTCTTTTAAATGTATTTGAGTGGAAAAAAGAAGCATTTTACTCATTAAAAAAGGAAAGGTGAAAGTTGAATCACCAAAACCTGGCATATGTTTTTGACCACTCCTCCAAACAAACAAACAAACAAAAAAAGAGTTGCCTCTATTCTTATTTATCTTTTGTAAAAAAAAAAAAAGCAATAAAAAATACAATCTAATAAATTAACTGTTTTAATGGATTTATTTCATACTTTTTTAGCCCATAAATCCACTGTACTTTCAGTGTAAACATATTTTACTTTTAAAAATTCTTCAGTTTAATGATACAAAAACTTTGCTAGAATCAAAAAAAATAAAATAAATAAAAGCACCTACTTAATGTTTAGCAGAGTAAATGACTTGATGATGAACACCCTGGAAACTTGTGAGGAAACAACAAAGACACATGTTGAAAAACTGAAACACCCACATGTACAAAAGTTCATGATACTCAAACACACCTTTTTAGAAACATTTGTCAACTTTCTTCCAGTAAATCAGGCTGGAAACATACGTGAGTGACATCTTGTTAAACTTGTAGTTTTCTCAAATGTGCGATCAGTCGTTTTGTTTTAACTCCTTCCTGATCAGATGATATATATATACACACAGGTTGT